TTATGAGCTGAGGAGAGAGAGAGAGAGAGAGAGAGAGATGAGAGAGAGAGAGAGACTGAGAGAGAAGAGGTGAGAGAGAGCAGAGAGAGTAGAGAGAGAGAGAGGAGGACAACGGCCCTGCGCATGAGAGAGAGATTGTAGACAATGAGAGAAGAGAGAGAGAGTAGTAAAGAGAGAGAGCGAGAGTGAGGAACTGGAGAGAGAGGGGCTTGAGAGAGGGAGAGAGTGAGGTGGCCGAGAAGGGGCACGAGAGGAGAGGAGACACGGAGAGAGAGAGAGACGGAGAGAGACGAGAGCCGGCGGGACGAGAGGAGACGAGGGAGACGAGGAGAAAGAGAGAGACAGAGGAGAGACGAGACGAGAGAGCAGGATGCAAGAGAGACTGACGGAGAGCGAGAGAAGAGAGAGAGAGACGACGATCTGGGAGCAGGCAGAGAGAAGAGAGCAGACGTGAGGAGAGGAGAGGAGCTCTGATGAGACGAGACGCAGAGTAGCATGATCTTATTGTAGTGATATAATTTATATGAACGAACTAGTTTTAAGTGATATCTCTTAGATGTCTTACCATTGCGCGGGCACATATATTATTGTAAATATCATCACATTTCAGTTTGTATCACTGCCCTCCGCATGATATCCGTTGTTTGCAAAACTCATCGATTTCAATTGCTTACGTTGTAAATACTTATTCTTTGCAATAAACTATTATCTATCTATACTGTCCGCCTGTCCGTGTCCGTCCGTCCTGTCCGTCCTGTCCGTCACGTCGTCGTCCGTTCGGGTCCGTCGGGCAGTTTCCGTTCCGTCGGTCGTCCGTCGTCGCTGCGTCCGTCCGCCTCCGATCCGTCCGTCCGTCTAGCTTCCATCCCGTCCACTCCCTCATCTGATCTATCTATTGTTGAAGAAAATGAGCCGAGGGAAGAGAGGAACATGAGAGCTAGCGAAAGAAATGACACAACCATGGTAGGGTCATAGAGCACTTGCCACGTCACGACATTGACACGACCGCACCGTCACGACACCCGACACCGACACGACACGCACACGACACGACACGACACGGCCCGTCCGACACGTCACGGTCAGCGACACAGACGCTGACACGGTGCGGGTGTCTCGCGCCCGAGGTGGCGATTCCACGCGTCCCGTCTTGGTCACCGCACGTGCGTCGCTCTGGTGTACCACCTATACTACCTTTGCTACCTATACCCTACTACTATACCTGCGGTCATCGGATTGCTCGCTCTGCCGTCGTCGCACGAACCAGCGGCCAGCCTGATTTGATGCTCGAGTGATACGCAGGCTGCTTCATCGGTTGCCAGCGCGATGAGCGTGGACTCCCATGTTCTGCCTAGCAGAGATGAGAGAAGCTGGAGATTGTAGTCAGCAGGGAGACGGAGAGAGAGGGGGGAGAAGGGCGGGTCGGGGGTCTGGAGAGAGGTGGGAGTAAGGGCGGCGGGTGGTGTAGAGAGAGAGCAGAGATAGTTTAGGGCAGGACGGCGAGTATGAGAAAGAGAGAGAAAGAGAGGAGAGAATGAGTATTAGAGAGAAACGAAGCAGTTATTTTGTCAGTAGATGAGACTGAGAAAGAGGTTGAGGAGAGAGAGAGAGAGAGCACGAGCGGAGGAGAGAGAGATCGAGGGAGGGTAGGTGAGAGAAGAGAAGAGAGCAGAGAGAGCATATGGAGTAAGCAGGATTTGTAGGCAGAGGAGAAGAGAGAGAGAGAGATGCATGAGGACGCTGTAGAGCGAGAAGGAGAGAGAGAGAGAGAGAAGACGAGAGAGAGCAGAGCCACGAAGGCAGAGAGAGGGAGAGAATGAAAAGCAGAGATTCGTAGGCAAAGGGACGGATGGACAGTGTCCAAGCTGCGTACCGATCAATGATGAACCGTGTCCACACGAAGAAAGGGCACAGCCGGCAGTCATAAAATCGGAGACAAGGTGTTAAGAGTAGGCCCAGCTTATGCTACTGTTGGCGTGCCGTTATGTATGTCAAACCCAGAATATTTCGAACTAAAGCCGTATCTTCGTCGTCGTATACTTGATAAGCACGTATGCTTCGACCATCACTGTCTCAGCGATCATGCCGACGTGTGAACGTGTAACAACGAAAGACCCTTCCCTACAACGGACCTGTTCGACTACCACGAGGGACGCTGCTGACCGCGTTCCGCTACCCGGTAGATGACGACAGATTGGTCACCTGTTGCTCCTCAGTGCGTTGTTCCGGGTTCGCGGATTCATTACTCGTTTCGCTGGGCTGCGATGCTTGCTAGGTCATCAATCGAGTAGGAATATCGGACGACGGATGGACCAATCTCAAACTCATTTTTTTTTATTATGAACTTTTGGCTTGAGCAGTTTACTGTTCGCATGTCCTTCTAGAGTGTTAACCCTGTCCGTAACCCTAACAGTATCCTTAATTTAACTATACCATTATAATACTAGCTCCACATACTAATAATGTCAATATTCCTTCGCGAATACACCCGCTGGTCGCGTCTATGATGTGTCGACAATGACCACGGCGCGTTCACCGCGCTTATCGCCGCAAATCTAAATGATTCGCATGGATGTATAATCGATCATCCGGTCGTTCTTTGTAAACGCGATGATCGATCGCGTAAGTGAATTTTTTGAGACCGATCTCCAACACTACCTGCTGCCCATGATGTCGCGCGTCGTTTCGCTAGGTGGAGAATGGTCGAGCCGGCCGGGCGGGTCCCTGCTCGTCACGCAGCTGTCCGCCGGCCGTGCCTCCAGGCTGGCGCTGAAACCCTGGCGGCGTGAACGGTCTCGCGGCTATTCGCTCTGAGCGTCGATGCAGACGATAAAATGCGACCCGGGCCTACATCACACCAGGTGGGCTTATCGCAGCTCGCACCGTCCGCCTCTCTGCAAAGCGGATCGCAGAAGGGAAGACTGGTTACTACGGCAGATTCGGTCGCCGATTTCCTTCCGGCGGCAATAGTACTTGGTGATAGTTATCACCTTGCAGTGTATTCGGGCCACCTTGTCCAGCACTAAGCCGACGCTTTTCTGCGTCTCAGGCGCTCGACCGACCCTCGTCGTTACAGGTTGACGATGCTGGTCCGCCTGTGTTAAAATACTGTCTTTAAGAATAGGCGTACGATGCTGCTCAACGGCGGACACCGACGCCGGCGGCAGACGGCCCGCGGTGTCGACCAGCTAACGAAACTCGGTTCATGCACAGACGTCAGTGCCGGCACTGTGTTTGCGCTTTCACCTCCTGCCTAGGAACGGACAACGACAAACTATGTTCATTCCAGTGCGACACCGTTCGCTATGCCGCCTCGTACGTTCTGTTTTCGTTCGGTTCACTCGATTCAGATCTACAGTTCATTAATTTATTCGGTGCTTTGCTTCACGCTATTATATTATATCCATATACTTCATTCACTCATTTATTCATTCATTCATTTACTAATTCACTCATTCTTTTTTTTGTTCTTTCAGAGACTACGAGTGTGTACTACAGTGCTATCCGTCGTTCACAGCTGTTAGTGAGGCTGAAGGGGTTGTTGTCGTATCAAGTACTACATATATGTACCCGATACACAAAGTGTACCAGACTTGTACTACAGAAGTGTACCCTAACCCTAACCCTATAACCCTAACCCTAAACATACCTCATATGAAAATATAAACATAATACTAAACAACCTAAAACTACCTCGGGTACATATATGTAGTACCTGATACGACAACGACCCTTCATGCGTTAGTGATGGTTGTCAGGGTATTAGCCAGGGATAAGTATTGTGGGAATGGAGAAAAAAAGGGAGTGCAATTTTTTTGTATGTGTCTTTAGATCAATATTTTAGGCCGTGCTACACATTTATGGCCGTTCAGTTTCAAAACTGACAGTGCAAATCACGGCTGCACAGCTCGCTGGCTAATACGTTGATCAATAGTCGTAGAGGTGCAGATGCAGATGCTGCTAGAAGAATACAGGGGCTAATCTAGATGCTTAATATGGGCACCCATGGCGAGCGTAGTGAGCCTAAACAAATTATATATATATATACTTATCTATCACATTAAATTGGGCGTTTGGTCGACACATTTTATTCAGATAATAGATTATAGATCTTATATATGAGCATTTTATTATAAAACAGTGCCTACATAACGATAGAAATATGGAGATCGGCATCAGAACGCTGCTAATTTGGGACGTTTTATGAATTTTGTAATTTGGGCGTTTTGCTAGGGGTCGTAATTTGGGCGCCGGTATTCAGTATGAAAAATGGCTTGGATTAGGCCTTGGAACAGCGCGTGAGACGCGCGGGCCGCGGCCCAGGGTAAAAAAAACACGGGAGCGATGACGGATTCGCTCTTCAAACCTCTGAAATCGCTCCCGTGAGGCTCAAAATAGCTCCCGTAAAATTTTTGACAAGAGCTATTTTCCCCACAGACTTGAAAAAGAGCTCCCGTGAAAAAGAAGAAAATTTCCCCCTGCCGCGTCCGCTGCAAACACGCACCTGCGCATGCGCAACCAGTGCCTCGTTCTCATCCATACGAACAGCGCGGCGCGTTCCAGCTGCGTGCCGCCCTCTGCTGGCCACACGCTGTTGACGAGCGGCCCGGGTCCGCCGAAGTTGACGAACGGCAGGATTGGTACTCTTAGGTCGAGGTAGGCGTACGGCTCCCAGAATCTCTCCACCTGCCAAGAACACAATCATATGTGTTATAGGAGATCGCAAATCCACGCTCTCTCCCACGGTTTCTTCTGAGGGAAAATTAGACGAAGGGACGTAATGCCCAGTATGGAAAAAAACGCGCATGATGGATTCAAAGGCATGCCGTAGTCATGCATGCAAACGCGGGGGGAGAGCGGGAGAGGTGGAACGCCCCCTCTCACTCTGAGGTTTTCGGGAGTCTCCTCCAGTAAAATTTAAAAAATTTGAATGTCTTAGACTGCATTTGAGGCACCCTGAAACCATTTTCACAATGGCGATGTTAAATTTGACAACAGCGGTGCGCCACTGTGCCTCTTATGTATAAGAAACCCTGTCGCCCCTGTCAGACACAGTATGTACTATATATGTACTATGTTATTGTATAGTTCGGCACTCAGTATTCAGGCTCGGCCCCACCGCGGATCAGCTAGCACGCAGTGCTTTAAAAACTATTTTGCAGTGTCATTCAACACAGCCTGCGAGTCTTTATCAAGCAAAAAATTTGATTCACGAAGGGCGACAAATTTCCTTATGCTTTTTTGGTAAGTTTCATTCACTTCAAAAAAAATTCCTTCAACCTTGGGTGAACCAATCACCAGTTTAGGAAGCACTGCCTCACACTATGTAGCTACTAGCTACCCCACATTAGTCTCAGCAAGGTCTCAGCATCCTTGTCTCTTCACTAGGCCACTATTATATTATATATATATGCAGCCCTGATAACCTCAGCATCGGGGATACCATATCGGAATATATGCCACCATCTCTAGCCTACCCCGACCATTTTTCGCCACCCATCGACAATCATTACAAACATTGTGGAAACTTTTCACTGGAATTTGGTCATCGGACTGTGTCCATCACC